GGGAGGCTCGAGAATGACGACAGAGTCGGGGAGCGGCTTGCGGGGACCGGTCTGGCCCTCCGGGTCCGTGCCCTTCATGCTATGACATACATGTGAGTCACCCAAGTCATAGTGAGTGGTGTCGGGTTGGGACGTACATTTTGACCTTGATACCGAGCACGCCCTGTCTAAGCAGAACGTGGCGGACGGCGAAGTCGACAAAGTCGACGGCGGGTTGGCCAGAGTGAATCATGAACCCGTCGGTGAATTTCATCGACTTGGCACGGGCGGCGCGAAGCTTGCCAGAGACGACGACTTCGCAACCCTTGGCACCGGACTCCATGACGAAACGGAGGACACCGTAGCATGCACTGCGCACGACGAATAAGCGAGTGTCTAGAGGACGAAAAGGGAAATGGGCGAACCGACGGACGGCGAGACCACCGAGTAGCTTGTATCTCAAGCTCTCGCACTGGGCGATCGCAGAGAGACCGCGGTACTGGACCTTCTCGGCGTAGAGTTCGAGGGAGTTCTCGGGGAACTTGAAACGTTTTTGGACGAGCGCAGTCAGTTCGCGGATGCGGCGACCCTTCTCGCCCAGGACTTCTTGGGTGTGGGTAGCGCGGATGATGATCTACGTCATTGAGCATCTAAGAAACAGGGCATGGGGAGGCGGGTACCTCAGTACGGGCGTGGGTGACACGGACGTCGCAGCCAGAGTACCCTTCCTCAGCGAGCTCGCGGGTGAAAAATTCATTGAGTTCGGCGCGGAAGACACCGTCGGCGACGAACTTGCGCTTCTTGCTAATCTGGGTGGCCATTGTGGAGTCTGGCGAAGTGTCGGGGGGGAGAAAGGAAAAGTTGACTGGAATGTATACCTTGACGCGAGCGGTACCGGGATCAGAGTGTGGCTGAAGAACTGTATAGCTCGTCCCGATGGGGACAGCGTGACACGGCGTATAAAGTCACGGCGAGGTCGCTTATTTTTGTCGACCTACCACAATCTCCTCCACGTTCTGCGCAGGGCGAATATGCATTGAGGAACTGCACGATGCGCATCTTTGTCTACCAACTCCTGTATGGCCTGCTCAAGCTCAAAGGAGAGTCTCCCGACTTACTCATCAGGTGAGAACGCCCTCTTCTCATTCGCTTTCCGTGACGAGCGCGAATTCTATTCGCCACAACTGGCACCTCTGCGTAGACTTGATCCACACGAGCTCGCCCCCGTGCGAGCCCGTGTTGTTCACTGACAGCAACGACTTTCTGAGATTTTCCTTATTCTGCTCTTCCCGCGTCCGATCTGTTACTGACTGCACGTTTTCGATCCAGGTATCCGGTCATTATTTTACCTCTCTTTGTATTACTTTCAACTTGTTAGAAACACGATTGTACCTTGAATATACCTACGCCCATTCCACTGTGCACATGTTGGTGCACAACAGCAATTCGTTCTTCCGCTACTTGGTTGATTTTTATCAATCGCACTACCAAGTAGGACGTAGTATGAGACGCAAAGGCTTTGATCACCTGTAAATAAAAAGCGCTTGAGGTCGACTTCCTCGATGTGACTGAATGGCTGAATTCAACTTTGCAGGTACTTTCGGTTGGTGGCAGTGGATCATCGGACAAGCTAGAACGAGCTGAATCTGGCTAGAGGAGCTCCTGGGGATGAAAGCCACGGAGTAAGCCACTGGTAGATTTAGAGGGGGAGAGATGTACGCGAGAACGCGTTCGAGGAGCACATGAGAGCAACATGTAAGATATATATCTCGGAAAAGAGGTATCGACTATGGAAGGCGCGATAGTGCCGTGACGCCCTTACTGCTTCGTACAGATCCTCGCGTCATCCATACAATTCTCCGTGGCGTGGTTTTACATCTGGCTGCGAAATCGTGTACTCTGTGGCCTGCACGACACCGTACATCGGCGCGTGGCGACGTGTTATGAAACATACTCCCACTGGCCGGGTGCTGGCTTCTCAGCTAACGGCTCCCAACTGTGCCGGCGCAGACTCAGCCAAAGTCCGCGCAGAAAGGTTACAGAGACTCACGCTTTCCACTCAGCCATCTGGGACGCGACTTTGAGCTCATCAATAGCAACCAGGAGCGACTGCTCAATGACGCCCTCGTTGAGCGCCATCTCCACCGCAGCGACGTCTCCGTTGGCAGCCTCGACCATCCCCAGCTTGTTCTGGGTCAGCGCCTCAGTTGCTTGTCTGTAGACGGAGGTTTCTGGCAGCTGGGAGAGAGTTGCGAGGGTAGACTGGTACGTCCCCGTAAGGGCGGGGAGGGGGTTCGTGTGGACGGCGAGGCCCGTGAGGCCGGTGGTGGCGCGCAGCGCCTGGCGCAGAGGGCGAGTGAGGCGGAACATGGTTGTCGGATATTCGAGTGTCGGAGTTTGAAATTTCTGCTTTCGTCTTGCGATTCATGGCGGCGCTTGCCCTCCCCGCCGGGTACATCCTCTCCCCCGCCCTACGTATTCCGTTATTACGCTCGCCATTGTGGACGAGACCGCTGGCACTCGCCGCCGTCCCCGCTTTTCTGACGGCGTCGCGCACATGGGCACTCCCCACCCTACAGTCGCTGCTTGAGCTCTTCCCGCCGTTCCTGCTCGCAGTGCCGAAGAAAAAGGTGTCGCACTCGCGCAAGTCGATGCGGAGCGCGAACAAGGGGCTCAAGGACAAACACAGTGCGTTTCACGCGACGCACATTTTTTTTGGTGCGCACTGACGCGCTACAGATATCGTGAATTGCCCTGGTTGCGGTGCACCCAAACTCGCGCATCATCTGTGTAACCAGTGCTTCTCGTTTCTCACCAGGATGTGGAAGCAGACCAAGAGGGAAGAGGCATGAATAGGCGAGCTTGCACTTTCGATCCGAGACTCTGCGTCGCGGCTGCGTCGAGGGTGGGTCGGTTACACAGTAGACGATGCTGTATGTACATACAAGATGGTTTGGAGCGCCAATAATTTGCCAATAATTTTTGAATAATTTTCTTGAATATTCGCGTCACGTATGACACGTGAGCGGGTAAAACCACACCCGCTTATAACTGCACCCAGAACCCAAATGGCTCCCCGCACTCTCACCCAACATGCTGCCCTCCCGCTTCATGTCCCGCGCCCCCCTTCGCCGCTCAGCGAGCACCCTCGCCCCTCGCGGGCTCGCAGCCATCCTCCAGAAGAATCCTGACGACGTAGTCATTACTTTTGCTAAACGTTCCCCAATCGGTCGTGCGAAGAAGGGCCAGCTCAAGGACACCACTGTGGACGAACTGCTGCTGGCCTTGTTCAAGGTAGCGCGAGCCGAAACACACGAGAATCACGACCCATCTCTCCACAGACGACTCTCGAAAAGACACGGCTCGATCCATCTAAAATCGACGACATCTGTGTCGGTATGTCATATACACCATTGGAACAGACGCGTTTCTCAGCCGGAATCAGGAACATGTCACCCACCCTCTCCTCTGTACGTCTCCCGAGCAGCCGCATTGGCCGCCGGCATACCGCACCATGTCCCAATCTCCACTGTGAACCGCCTTTGTTCCTCTGGCCTCATGGCCATTCGGACTATTGCCCACGCTATCCAGGCTGGCGAGACGTCTATTGGGCTTGCAATCGGTGTGGACAGCATGAGCATGCAGTTCGTCTGGACCTTTTGTTACTCTTACTCTGCCCTCATCAATTACCAAGTCCACGACCAACCCCAGAAGTCTGTGAAGAAGTCGCGAAGAACCAGGAAGCTCATGACTGCATTCAGGTGGCTACGGCCTATCTGCTACACGTCATTCATTGACTCTGTCTCTAGCCAATGGGCTGGACCTCTGAAATGGTCGCGGAAACATATAAAGTCTCGCGTGAAAAGCAGGACAAATATGCACTCATATCACACACGCGAGCCAATGACGTGAGCGGTTGGATATCCTCTATTCATCCACGCTGACTTAGAGTAGTCGGTAGCAAGCGGCTTCTTTGCCGATGAAATTCTGCCCCTCGAGCTCAATGGTACCGTCATCTCCGTAGACGACACAATTCGACCAGGTGTTGCCGCCCCATCGCTGGCTTCCCTTAAGCCCGTGTTTCCCGATTGGGGTGAGGCTTCCACCACTGCGGGAAATGCAAGCGGCGTAGGTGATGGTGCCGCCATTTGCATCCTCACGACGAGAGAAAGGGCCGAGCAAGAGGGAATGGAGGTCTTGGGTAAATGGGTTGGTAGCTCGATCGTCGGCAGGTCTTTACCTCCTTGGCGACGACAATATATTGACCAGAGCAAAGGTGTCGAGCCAAAATACATGGGCATCGCCCCGATATTTGCCATCCCCAAGGTCCTGGAGCAGGTGGGACTAAAGAAAGAGGACATTGATGTATACGAAGTACATTTTGTCCGGACTCTTGGTAGCGTCGTCTGACCGCTCGCAGATCAACGAAGCCTTTGCATCCCAGTTCGCATACTGCGTCGAAGAACTGGGCATTCCGATTGAGAAAATCAACCCCAAGTGCGCTGCATGTACCCTTGTTATATAACCCAACTCAATCTCACTCCAGCGGTGGATCCATCGCCATCTCACATCCGCTTGGAATGAGTGAGTGCATGTGCACCTGTAGCATTTCATTGAAAAACTAATAACCCATATCGTAGCTGGCGTCCGCCAAGTTGTCACTGGTCTGGCCGAGTTGAAGCGGAAGAACGGATCGCTGTTGTGTACCAGCATGTGCATAGGCAGTGGAATGGGCGCCGCAGGTATATTCGTCAACGAAGCGCGTAGTTCTAGCAAGTTGTAATACAGAGAAGTAAAGTAACGACGGGATCCCTGGATCGCAGTAATTGATCGGACGCAGGAAGTACAGAAGAAAAATATCGTCTCGAGAAAGCCATCTATAGTGAATCAGCCCGTTGACTGTGGACTAAGGCGACTAAGAAAAGCGCTCTTCCCACATCATATATAGAACATGCACCCCGTCTCTTCCTGAGTTCCTCTTTGCAACCGAGCTCCAATGTAAGGAGAAACGGATCAAAAAGCGACACCAGCAAGGTTCGAACTTGCGCCCAGAAACTGGAACAGATAATGTAACGAATTCAAATCTGTCGCGTTAGACCACTCCGCCATGGTGCCACAAACGGCGATCGCATCCTTTCGATCCATAACTTGCTACGGGATTTCACCATATGATGTCGTTCTGCTAAGTATTATATTTTGCTGAATAGATTTCTTACTATAATTCAAGACTCCTACAACTTTTCATGCTTGTGTCGACATGCATGAAGCTGCAGTACTTCCGACGGTAAAGCTGCATTTAAGCCTGAAAACAGATGCCCAGTGAGACTTGTTTGCGAAGGTGTCCTCGTCCCAATGGAGGATGTCCTGATCTGTCTTGAAGTTCTTTCGAGTTTGGCAGTTTGGCCATGGACTCCCTAATACCCTTCACAACCTCGGGCTCACTGGTGGATTGCGTGGACAGTACGTCTGCCAAACGTCGATTACCCTACTCTGTCCTGAACCCTCCGACCACCTCTTCCGTCATGTCCTCCGTTGACTAGGGAAGATGCTGGTGGTCTTGCGAGACGGGAGAAAACTCCATGGCGTCCTGCGGTCCTACGACCAGTTCGGTAAGGGCCTTCCGCCGCCTGCGTGTTCTATTTCACCGAACCTTTCCAGCCAACCTCGTGCTTGAGGACACCGTAGAGCGCATCTACCATGGGAACGCCTTCGCGGAGAACTGGCACGGGCTGTTTCTGATTCGGGGGGAAAATGTCGTGTTGCTGGGCGAAATAGTACGTCGTCGTGCCCTTTCCACCTCGTATACGCTCACATTCGCGCAGGATCTCGATCTAGAGGACGAGATACCCATGCGCCGGCAAGTAGACTACGCTACCCTCGAACCTTACCACAAGGACGATGTGGAGATGAAAAAACAACGAGAAGAGGCGAAGGCGCAGATCCTGTATGAGAAGAAAGGATTCTGCAAGGAGGGCGGCGAAGGGGATGGATACTAGTGGTGGGCGTGACACCATGGTGGATGCTAATATCCCAGATGCCCTTACCGAGCGGAGAGGGACCGGTCGTCAGCGAACGACTACAGGCAGATTCATTACGCCTTGCAGTATCGCGGTCAGATACGAATTGTATGTTTGTAACACTCTCAAATCTGGGCAAGTACTCAGAGGAGGTACATTCGTCGAGAAGAAACCAATGCTACAGAACAAGATATGCGATACACATTCGAAAGCAAATTTTGATGAAGAAAAGGAAAAGGGCTTATAAAAATACAGAATTAGGATCAAGAAGTAGTCTTTCTCTTCTTCCCCTTCTTGTTGTCTCCGTTCGTTTTCCCTTTGGCGTTGCCATTAACAAGTTTGGAAGATTTCAATGGTGCGGCGGATGAAGGGTCGATGCAGGAACGATTGAACGGCTCCACGATGTCTTCGATGCGTTTCCGTATTTCGCGTTCTCGAGTGGTAAGCTTGAAAAGGGCTTCCTCCTTCTTCTCCCTCTCCTTATTGACGTCCTTTGCCCGTATTGCCTGCCAACTAAGACGCGGGCGTTGGTCAAAGTTTGTACTCCAACGAATTTGGTAACGTACCCTGCGTGGCGCTCACAGTGTTCACTCTCGACACACCACCATTCTTCAGCATCTCCCGTACCATCGACTTGCATAGCACCCTCCTTCGCACCGTCTTCATAGCTGTCCCAGACGCCCGCTCCAAAGTCCGCCCACTCGTCCTCGCCAAAGCACAGCCGCTGGTCCCACCCGCACTGCCCGACCTGCTCAGCGCGCTCACTCGCCAATTCAAGCAGCCGCTCCCGCCATAAAATGATCTCCATCCCTTCCTTCAGCTCCTCCCGCAGCCGCACCACCTCGTCGAGCACCGCGTTCAACTGCTCCACCTCGCGCTCCACCTTGCCCATGTTCGACGGCTTCACCCGCGCGGTCACGAAGGGGACGAGTTTCGCGTCCTCGTTCTCCTTCATGCAGCCCTCAACGGTCTCGACCTTCGGCGCGACGTCGACGTCCTCATGCACGATGATGACCCCTTCCCTCTTCTGCGCATCCTTCACGCTGTCCCAGAGCAACTCCTTCTTTCCGCCATTCTTGGCGAACACGTCAATGCGCTTCTTGACGCTGTTCAGCCCACATTTGGGCGAGCAGTACTTCGAGAAGGCGCCTTGCGCGGGTTTATGGCATGCTTTCGACGAGTCGGGTTCTGGGTGGTCCAGTCCGTAGCGGCATCGTTGCTTGTATGTAGTCTTGAGAGACAGGTTCGGGTTTTCTGCACAAAGGGTTGAGGGGAAAACAACCGCAGCGTGCACACGGGACGTACTCTCGATGCACAGCGGGCAGAAAAACTGGTCGACCAGATCAACCACCAGATCGGGCATGTCGACGCATTGGGTGTGATACCACTCATCGCATCTACAGCAGCATGAGTAACCACGCAGAACACAGAGAACCAAAACACGCACTTGTCGCACGCAATCATGAACCGGTCTTCATCGTACTTGGTCTTACACACGCAATACAGCTTGTCGTCCTCGGCGGCCGCCGCCGCCGCGAGGGCGTCGTTCTCCTCGTCCTCGAGCTTCTCCGAGCTGTCGGGCCCGACGGAGCCGCCGGGCATGACAGAGGTCGAGCGCGAGCGCGACGCCGACGCAGCGGCCGAGCCGCTCTTCCGGGGAATGGCGGAGGGTGCTCGCGATTTCGCAGCGGCAGCGGTTCCGTCAGCCGCCTTGCCCTTTGGCTTAGGTGCCGGCTTTGCGCGTGGTTTGGCAGTGGTGGGCGCCTTGGGTTTGGGGGCAGCCTGCGGGAACAGAGTGAGTAGGAACTCAAAGTTGGAACCTGGTCACGCGTACCTTGGCCGTCTCTTTCTTCTTTCGTGCAGCAGGGGTAGCGCTCGACTCCTTGCTCTTGGTGGTAGTGGATGCGGGAGGTGGCATCGATCCACGCTCGGAGGGGGGGAGCATGGAGGACGCCCTCGCCCCAGGGGAGAAGAACGACGACGGTGATGAAGCTGACGCCATCGGAGAGGCATGCCGCGACCCAAACTCGCTCTGCAGTCGAAGAGCCGGCTTGCTGCTGCCACCAGACGGCACGCGGCTAACGCTCGGCGCACGTGCAGTAGACCGCGACCGCGGACGATCGTCTACCAGACTCAACAGCTCGTCCTCCACATCAACCTCCATCCCCACCGTGCCACCCGGCTGGTGCTTGCCACCACCCTCCAGCGTCTCCTTGACCAACTCCGACACGGCCAAATCCACGTCCATCTCGTCGTCCTTTGGCTCGACCTTGCCCACGGCCAGGACAAAGACAGAGGCGAGCTCTTCCTCAAGGGCGACGGCGGCCTCAGGCATCGTGGCGGGGACCAGCGGCGGCGTGACCCTCTTTGTCTGCGCCGGGCTTTGGCTATTTGACACGTGCGCGGTTGACCCGGGGCGCACGGGGGACATGGCAGGCAAAGGGGAAGGGGACATCAACGGCTCAAGGTTCTGCCTGGGCTGCACGTCGGGGGAGGGATCGGCGAAGTGCTCCAACAGCCACTCGTGCGCGTCTTCTTCCTTGGGTTGCTGCTGTCGCAGTGGGGGCTGGGGCTGGGGATGATGTTGAGGCGGCTGAGGATGTCTTTGTGGCGGACCGTGCTGGCGGGTGTCTTGTTCTGATGGACGCCGGCTGGGGCCGGCCACTTGCGTGTATTCGAGGGGACGGGAATCGGACGATTGGCCCTGCGAATAAGATTTCTTGTGCCGTTTGTCCTCTGGCATATATTCCTCCCTTGCTCTCTCAGGGACGTGAATGACGGTGTTGTAGTCTCTGCGGTCTGCGGGATACGGGTTGATGTCGAGCTCGTCGGGTTCGGACTTTTTCGTAGCCTTTGCTCGTCCCGTCACACTGCCAGGAGGCGATCTCCTACCTGGGTGGGAAGGGGGGATGTCGATTCTAATGTCGGGATGTCCACCGACCCCGTGTCGCTCCAGGACGGACTCTGCAAGGCTTAGATGCTTTCGCTGGCGGTGAGGACTATATTGGGCAGCATCAGGCCCAGAGCTGGAGCTCGGTCTACGGACGGCGAGGGGGGGGGCGAAGTCTGCCTCTGCGTTGAGGATCCCGCGATCCCCGCTGCGCTTGAGGGAGAGAGCGGGCTCCCATTCGAAGGCGTCAGACGTGGGGGCAAGGGGGCCAGGAGAGTCGGAGTACCGTCGCCTCTTGCTCGGAGGTTCCATCTGTTGATGTGCCATGTAGGCCGGAAGATGCGACGTTGACGGAGAAGGGTGGACGACAGGACTCGGCATCCGCCTGAGCTGGCCAGGATCCGATTTCCGACCAGGCCGCAAATCCATCGGGACGGGGCCGTGGACAAGCGCGTCGGCGTGCCCCCGATCCCGATCCCACACTCTCTCCCACTGCTCCCGTTCGTGTGCGAGGTGAGCGGCATGTATGCGCTCCTGATGCAGCATCTGCTCATGCTCCCGCTGGCGCGCGCTGTGCTGGGCGCGCTGTTGTTGTTGTTGTTGTTGCTGCTGCTGCTGCTGCTGCTGGAGGAGGCGGAGGTGATGCTGGTGTTGTTGTTGCTGCTGCTGCTGCTCGAGAATGTGCCGGGAGGGTGGGACTATCTGGTTCATCGGGGAATAGGAGGCCGAGCGCAGGCGATGGTGGTCCTCGACGGGGCTGAGGAGGATCTGTGCGTCGCGCATGTCGGCTGCGGTGTGGACGCGGGGAGTGCGGGGAAAGGGGGGTTCAGGACGGTGGTCGCTGGCGTCGCTGGAACGCCGGTGGCCGGAGCTTGTTGCGGCATGGGCGAGGACGTCGAGGTTGATGTTGGGGTTGGGCTGGGGCGGGGGGCAGTCGTATCGGGCGCTGCGGAGATGGGGTGCGAGGACGACGGGTTCTGCGACGACGTCGCGTCCACGATGGTCTCGTTCCGAGTCTCTTTCAAGCCATTGGGCGTCTCTGTCGTCCTTGGGGGGCTCGTCGCAAAGGAGGGACGAGATATCGAGGCGTCTGGACATGAGAGTAGAAAAGAAGGGTCACAGGATGGCCCACGAGGTATCTCCGTTCGGTAGCCATTACAAAGTACAAGAGAAAAAAGAAAAAAGAAAAAAGAGGCGACCACGAGCCC